TTTCAGCATGGCAGCGTTTTAGGATGGCATTCTGGATGGAGCGAGGTAGTAGAAAAGTAGGGTTCCTTCAGGGCTCGTATTTGGCTAAAATTTTCCTCACCGGCAGACCGTGTCCTGGTGCCTACCCAGTTGCATACACTACCACTTTTTCGCGGAGAAGGGAACACACAGAACTGCTTTGGCACCCAGCGCGCAAGTTGCCGGCTGCAGCCTTTGCGCCGCAAAGTATGTATGCGCTCGGTCCAGTGGTTTCTTCTACAGCTCCTAGCTTTCTGGTTTTGAAAAATGTTCATTAGAAATAATTCGAGTTTTTCAGGCCCTTTACCCCTTCCTCTGTTCGGAAATCTTCACACAATGCTTGCTCATGAACCTGGATATGATGTATTTGATACGTGGAAGAAGAAGTATGGCCCAGTTTACACCTACTGGATTGGTAATGAACGTTCAGTCTTCTATTTCCCAAACTGCATCACATGAAAGCGATGTTTAGGTGCTTTGCCGTTCGTTATTGTAGCAGATTACAAGACAATTAAGGAGACATTCGTCAAAGATGGCGACGCATATGCGGGGAAATTTACCATCGAAGAGGTCACAAACGATTATCGAGGTTAGTGTGATGAACAGTTTGCTCGCCCAAATCTTTGAATACAAGGGACCAATGGCTGGGGCGGGCGGTCACTGCCAACTTCATTGGTGGAAGGGCGGGGTGGAGTGTGGCTTGGCCCACTCGCAGCCCTTCTACCAATAACGTTGGCAACAACCGCCCGCCCCCAGCAACTCTTGAAAGCAGTCGGCCTTTACGATTACTTTCCTGGGGAGGCGTGCAAGTTCTCCAAAGGGTACGATGTCCCAGTCGCGGCATTGTATGCGAGTTGATTTGGGAGATAGTGAAGCTGAAATGCTGGCTAGGATGGTTCCGAGTGCGGATGTTTCTACGTCACCCCACCTATTTCGCCACGACTGCGAATTAGCGCCTACACCCGTCGCGCGATTGGTCAGCTCACCGCCGTGGGTTCGCCGCATGGGATGTACTGCCCCTTGGGGATTTGGAACGTATCTAATTAAGGTGCAGACCTCGGCTATTATTTATGTCTTATCTGAACAAATCAGATTCACTCAACCGCACTACATTTCGGACGGAGACTGACAGCTATTGGGTTAAACCCTGTCGGGTGGCTTGCAAGCCGCTGTCCAAGACAATCTTTTTAGTAGTCTACACGCCCTGAAGGGACGCGGGAGGGCGAATGGTGGGCAAGGGCAGCTGAATGTAGGTTCAGGAAAACAGGCAGGATACGGTAGCCCAGGCTGTTCGTGAAAAGTGAGTGCGCAAAAGCAGCAAGTGCAAACAGCGGCACTTAGTTTCGGCCGAAGCAGTACTGGCTACGGGTGGAAAGGAAGGTGACGTTTCTCTTGCTCTCTGTCCTTACCCCGGAGTTTCTTCCCCCCCCCCCCTCTGTGCGCGCCGAAGTTTTAATTAGGAAATGCACGTTAACAGGGCTGTGCAAAAGGCGTATAATAGTGCAGGCTAGTGAAAGTGCCCCGAACTTTGGTACCTGGACCGGCTTACGGTATGCCTAATTGTGTCGACGTTGGTGGGGTCGACACCGCACGCCTGATGAGCGGGCCCTTCGGAACTGCACCACCTTAGCCTCGTATAGCGCTCCCGCTGCCGGCTGTGATGATAATTCTCGATGTTGTTACAGGTGGTAGATACGGTATGGTAGATGCTGTTGGAGCTTTCTGGCGTGATCAGAGACGATTCGCCTTACATGTGTTCAAAGATCTTGGCCTAAGCAAAGACGTCATGGAGCAGCGAGTTTGTCTCTTTATGTCCGTTTTTGCCATTTGCAAATTCTCCCAAGGAATTTATCAGGCATTGTCTTCTTGGTCTCAACTTATAATGAACATGGGGAAGTTTAGTTGATGTAAACGCAGAATACAGATGGTACTCGTTAATGGCTATCGATTGTCCAGATTGAATGAATAGTAGCCGAGATGAGAGTACTGTAATGTCTTTGGGAAATACTGTAATCACAGCGTCCGCGACTATCCATCTGCAGAAGTCCCTCGCTTCACAGAGTAGCGCAGTTCGTAATCGCAAAGCCGTCGTGTTTTCGGAAGTTGGAAGTGCTTGATATAAGCGCCAGGCTTGGAGACTGTAACCTAGCTCAGCTGCACTGAATACACCTTTGAGATTTCGTTTTAGTATCCCTGTATAGCGGTGT